AAGCCCCCCCCCCCCCCCAAAAAAAAAGGCAAGAGTTTGACACTAACTAAAAAAAAACAATCCAAAAGGACAAGACTAATGGTATAATTACAAAACAGTACAGTGACCGAAGCCATAATAAAAGTATCAAAATCACCAGCGCTCCCAAACCACTTCTTTAGATTTCACATCACCTCTAAAGAATCTAGAGTTCAATAAAGCCAAATATCCCACAAAATAGCAAAGAAACTCCCATGTCAAAACACTTTGTCCTTCTCTCTCAATAGAAGATGTAGAAGCACCTCCTCGAACAAACATGATCCATCCATAGTACAAGCCCCACTTACTCCAAAAGACCTCCACCAACGGTCCCAAAGGTAGTTCGCAAACTGGCCCTCCGACAACAAATGATTTAGATCCTTCTAATACCTCACACAAAGAATGCATCATTGCAAGAACAAGACGAAGGAAGAATGTCTTTGGGTATGATCCAAGGTATTGACTCTCCAAGTAAAGCCTACCACACAAAAATCTTAAGCCTTTTTGGAATTTTTACCTTCCATAAAGAGAAGACAAAGACCTCAAGAGTAGCTGATGAGCAAGGGAAGAAGATAAAAGGTGAAACTAGGAATTGCAAAAGAACCCACTCAAACCTCACAGCCCTCCTAATAGTGTTAATTCATGTACGTAACAGCCCCACAATTGACCTCTTAAGAGATTTTAGTCTCCCAAATCGAAGAAAATAGAGCCGGGAAAAAGACCAAGGTGAAGGGGAATAACAAACTTAAAATACAAAAAGAAAGAAAGAAAAAAGAAAAAGAAAACTCATTCAAGGGGTTGGGATATAAATACTAATAACCCAAAAATCAAGTAAAAGTGAAATCTGCAAAAGAGAAAGAAAAGAAGACACATCAAAAGTTTCCCTTCCATCGTTAGCAAGTCCCTGTTCTAGAAGGGCAGAGGACAATGGAAACTCCACTGGTTCTCTTTGTCAGTATGCATACATTTTCTAAGAGAGAATTTCAGGAGCGGTTAAATGGCATTTCATCCTCTCTGGTGTCCCCTTTCATCTTCGTCACTTTAATGCTTACAGAACACCCATTCAAAGAGACAAAGGTTTTGCTTTTGGCTTTCTTTTCATTTATTTGGCATGAGAATAATTTCATGTTCCAAGACATTGAGACAAGTTTTGATAGTTTTTTTTTTTCCTTTTATTTTGTTTCCTCGTTAGCCTTTGTCCTTCGTGTAAAAATCCTGGCTTCTTTAGAAACTATGACTTAGCTACACTTATGGCCCATTGGTAGAATTTTTTGTAATTCCTTTGGCTAGGAATTTCTCTTCTCTATTGCAATTTCATCTAAGGTCACCCAAATCAAAGTCGCATAAAGTGGAATCCCAGGAGAAAGAAAGGACGGAAACTATAGAAGTAGCTAGCCATCCTTACTAGCATCCATCTCTTTTTCTCAATTTTCTCATGCCTTAACTCAATTATTAAGTCCTTGGAGAAGTTGATTAGAGGACTTCTTTCGAAAGGTAGTAAAGAGGAAGGGGTGACTAATCTTATAAACTTGAAAACAACTTCCCTTTTTACGTTCATGGGAGGCATGGGTATTGGTAAGCTTACTATTACAAATTGGGCGCTCCTTCCTAAATGGAAGTGGCACTTTCTTGAAGAGAAGACGGGGTTTTGTGAAGAATGTTATTGCTGCAAAATATTGATGGAATGTGCAAAATTGGTGGCCCTTAATGAAAGACTCTCGTACCTTTAAGAGTCCTTGGTCCCAGATCATGAAAAGCATTAGTCCCTTTTGAAGGTTGGTGCCAAATCAATTTAGGCAAAGGAGATAAAACGGGGTTTTGGAAGGTTAAATAGTTAACGGATTCCTCTCCACTCAATGCTTTTCCCAAACTTTACAGGATTGCTGAATCCAAAGTTTCTTTGGATAAACAATGCTGGTAGGTGAGTTTAAATGACAGTAATTGAATTTCAGAACAAACATTACTGATTTGGAGGTGGAAGAATAGGCTACTCTCCCATATGCTTTCTAATGACAGACCTCAGAGAAGATGTTAAAGTGTGGACTCTAGAAAATTGAGGTGGGGGTGGCTGTTTTCTGTTAAAAAGTTGATTATCCATCAAGCAGCTTTGAACCATCAACAATCTGATATGATCTGGCAAGCTCTTTGTCCAAAAAAGGCTAAGGTTTTCCTGTCGATCTTTTCTTTTGAAAGGCTGAATACTTTTTGTAGAATCCAAAAGATCCTTCAGAACATGGCTCTTTCCCTAAAGTGGTGTGTTCTTGATAAGATAGTGAAGTTCTTTTGTCCTTTTGTGGCTGCCTATTGGGAAAACCTCCGAAGCTTGCTTAATTTTCAGTAATGCCAGCCTAGCAAAGCATCAGGTGCCGTCCATAGGCTTATTGGTGATACGACCTTCAAAGAGCGAGCCAAGATACTTTGGTTGGTGTATTGGGGTGCTTACACTTATATGCCAGCTTTAGTTTAAAAGGAACTCAAGAATGAAGGGAGGTGTTTTGGGACTTGGTTATTCTTTTTGCTTCTACTTGGTCAAATGTTTCAAATTATTTTGTAACTGTAGTTTAACTCAAATCTTTACCAGTTGGTCATCTTTTTGCAACCTTTGGTGTTGGCCTCGTAAAGCATCGGAGCAATTTTTCAGGTCAATGATGGTTCCTTTTTTTGTTGACAAGGAGTAGACACAGGTGTCATAAACAACCTCAAAGTTCATCGTTGACAAGGAGCAAGTTGTCATAGACCATCATGTATAGATGGTACAATTCTTTTTCGATTTTGTGCCTGAAAGTTGATTTAGAAGGCAGTTTGAACTTAATCCACATCTTTGACATCATGGCCTTAGAAGTGAGTGAGTGCTCATGCTACAATGCATGACTCAAGTGCGCTACCACTAGTTAGAACAAAAATTGCTTATGGATGTATTTAGGTAATAATACTAAAAGCATCGATTATTGGTTGTTGACCTTCCCTTGCCTTTTCTTTTCCTAAAGAATTTCATCTCTCTTTTACTTTTGGAAAATACCAAACTTTCGTTGAAAATAAATGAAAAAATACAAGGGGATAAAAAAAACCAAGCCCAAACAAAAGGTGTCAAACTAAAAAAAAAAAAAATGACTCCAATCAAACAAAATAAGACCTAAGAGGTATTTACAAAAAGACTTGATGATCGAAGCCTTTACAAGGGCCCAAAAAGACTATAATGTTCTTCTCTAACCAAATATTCACAACACTTCACACCCTTGCAAGCAAAAAAAACTGACCCTTCTCACCAATAGCAGGTCAAAAAGGAACTCGACTATCAAGCAAACATCTTTAGTCCAACAACCTGAAAAAATAGACTCCTCAAAGAAAAAATTCCAACTTGAACCGGCAAAAACACAACACCAAAAAAGGTGGTAAAATCCTTTGCCATGCCATTACAGAAGGATGCAACACTGTAGACCTATCAAATCAGACAAAATCCTCAAAACACGATCCAAATTCTCAATTCTTCTGTGAAAAAAACTGTCAAGTAAAGAACTTAACTTTCTTAGGAATTTTTGATCTTCCACAGCATGGAAAAGACCGACTGATTGGAAGGAGAGGGGTTCACTAAAGACTGAAAACAAATCTGCAAGAAAAACCTTCCAAAATGCTAGGAGAAATGAAAATCCCCTCTCGCAGGATGAGTAGAACCCTCAACCAAGGACAAAAGGTTGATAACATGTGTTGTTTCCCAATTGAACAACAAACGACAAAACCCAATATCATGGTTGGGATTATTCTCCAAACGAGAAAGAATATAGTCCACCAAATATTTCTCAAAGAAAATATAAAAGTCATTGATATATGAAATTTACCAAAGAGGGGTAAGAATCCAAGCCAAAGGACTTACAAAAGATTCCTCCATTGTCAAAAAATGATGAGATACTATAAGAGTTTTTTTTTAAAAAAAAAATAAAAAGTGCATTTACATCCAGATAGAGCTAACAAGATGATGTGCTTAAAAAAAGTATACAAAGATCTTTCCTTGTCATTGAAATTTCTTGGTTATCATTGCACTCAATCCATGTAGTTCACACAACGCCTGAATAAGGTGCACCCATCAAACTTTTTTCCCATCCATGAATGAGTGTCCTATCAGTGTGTAATTGAGAAGGCTAATCGGATCATAAGGGAGAATCTTAGACCAGCTAGAAATGATAACAAATGATTCGTGGAAGGCAGCACTATCATTTACCAAATGATTCCTCACAGATGAAAGATAGTGTAAATGAGGAAATAAGGGGCAGATAGGTCTATCCCCTAGCCACTTATCTTCTCAAACCATCAGAGATAGCTTTTCACTGGTCTTTAGAAGTTCTTTGAGAACCCTATTTGAAGACCACGCGAACCATGCTTGTGATGCCCCTATGCCATAAAAAATAGGGCTCACAAGGAAAATGCCATAACTGCTTAACCAACAAGGCGTCGTTCAAATCCTGCCCATTAAAAATCAACTTTTCCAAAGTTCTGCTAATCAACACAAGAATTCTAAACAAGGATACAAGCCACTCAAGACCAACTAAGAATGAGCCAACCCCCATAAAAAAAACACCTCTTCCAAGCAGCATGGCATTTCTGTATCTTACTCCAACAGAGTCCCAAAAAATGCGACTACGAGGATTGTCATCAAGAGGTAAAATAAATCCTAGCTACACGCACAACAAATTTTATGTTTACGACATATGTAATATTTAGGTACAATCAAACAGCAAAGTCTTACACTTTGAGCCTCATGCCCAGATCTTGCAAAAATGTGCAGTATGACTTCCGTAAATAAGTCTCCTTCTTCAAGTCAATACCATCCCTTCTTGATGGGGAATTTTCTTCAATTTCCTTTCTGGACATATACCAACGACCTCCTTCATCTTGATTTTCTTGAGAACTCATTGAGGACCCGCTATCAGATATTCTATGATGTGTCGACTCAAATGGCAGAAGTCCAGCCATGAGTATTATTCAACAGTCTACAACAGTAGCAAGAGACTATACAATAATTCCCTTAAACTTATGCAGCAATTTCCTGCCAACAAGATCGATAAGTAAAAATTAGATATAGCACAACAACCTATGAACTAAAGAAGTTATATACTAGTTTTCCCTTCAGTGAAGATTTGTCTCCTTAGAACTCAATTATCGTCAAAAGTTAAAATTATTGTTTGTATAAGAACCATTATTCACAATTCCAATAAGCTTGGAATGAATGTCTTCATTCATAAAATAATAATAACACACTAAAAGCGAAACAAAAAAAATGGGAAAAAAAATGTCTAGATAACCTCACAAAAACAAATAATCTCCTCTCTATGTCTGGACATCTACAGTTAGTTACTTTTTTTATAGGACATAATATCATTTCAGTATGGGATGTTAAAAAGGGAGATATCCCATATAACAACCCTAAATTTCTGCTAACCTAAAGTTGCTACCATCATCATAATATGAGTAGATTTCTGCTAACCTAAAGTTGCTACCATCATCATAATATGAGTAGAAATAATCCTTTAAAAAACATCTTCATTAAATAATGTCATAGACTTACATGTTTTCAAAGGAAGATCTTAAAACAATGCAAAGGAAATTTTAAAATAAAACAAAGTAAATATTGAAAATAAATATGTCATCTACTAACCCTATAGTATAATAATTTTAAATATTACTATCCTATGCATGTATCATGGTCTTTACTTACGATGCCATCGTCAGCTGTACATGGGTATCTTGCCTTTACTAAAAAATAGAAGTAGTACACGGCTTGATTATTTTAAGAAATACTCAGTAAGTGACCCCACTATTGGGGTCAAGGAATGCAAACACATGCAACTCATGATTAGGAACCTATCGTTAAAACCATCATAGAGGTGGTCTCCAATCCGGACAAAACTGGGTGTGTAGTACTTCCCTACACACAACCCACACGTGCGAGCGTAAGTCCCAAGCTATTTGCACCCCCTAGATCCATCATAGTCGGACGTCCAGAGGTCAGCAAACCCTCGAATATCATGCAAGGCATGATGATCATCATCATAGTGTACGTTTCCGTACTCATCGTCATAAATGGGGAAGTAACTCGATATATATGAATATACAATATGCATGAAGTCTCAATAGTTTTCATCTTAAATTGTTCTTATAACACAACCCTATACATCATTCACATATTACTTTGGGTAACATGCATGCATTGACCTTCATACGTTCATCATCATTAACATCATTTAGGGTTGTGTCTTAGAAAACTCTTCGTCATAATGCATCATGACATTTAGTACATGCACATCATCTTAATATGGAATATTATCATATTAAGTCATCTCATCATCATGCATCCTACATCATCATGTCATCATATAACATCTTCATATAAAATTATCACATTATCATATAACATCCTCATATAAAATCATCACATCATCATATAACATCACCATATAACATCATCACATCATCATATTACATAAAGTATAAATGACACATGTAAGAAGGATCATTGGGCATGTGTCATCATACATAAGGCAAGTCTTTCAACCAAGCCGATAATGGCCACTGGGGCCCTTGCCTTATGTATGACGACACGTGCCTAGTGGCCCTTGCACGTGTCATTTATGTTTTATGTTATATGATGATGTTACATGATAATATGATGTTATATGATGACGTGATGATATTATATGATGATGTTACATGATAATATGATGTTATATGATGACGTGATGATATTATATGAAGATGTTACATGATAATATGATGTTATGACGACGTGTAATGATATGATGACATGACGATGTGATGATATGATGACTTGACGATGTGATGATATGATGACTTGACGATGTGATGATGTGATGACTTGACGATGTGATGATGTGATGACTTGACGATGTGATGATGTGATGACTTGACGATGTGATGATGTGATGACTTGACGATGTGACGATGTGATGACTTGACGATGTGACGATGTGATGATATGACGACTTGACGATGTGATGATATGATGACATGACGATGTGATGATATGATGACATGACGATGTGATGATATGATGACATGACGATGTGATGATATGATGACATGACGATATGCGATATGATGACATGACGATATGCGATATGATGACATGACGATATGCGATATGATGACATGACGATATGCGATATGATGACATGACGATATGCGATATGATGACATGACGATATGCGATATGATGACATGACGATATGCGATATGATGACATGACGATATGCGATATGATGACATGACGATATGCGATATGATGACATGACGATATGCGATATGATGACATGACGATATGCGATATGATGACATGACGATATGCGATATGATGACATGACGATATGCGATATGATGACATGACGATATGCGATATGATGACATGACGATATGCGATATGATGACATGACGATATGCGATATGATGACATGACGATATGCGATATGATGACATGACGATATGCGATATGATGACATGACGATATGCGATATGATGACATGACGATATGCGATATGATGACATGACGATATGCGATATGATGACATGACGATATGCGATATGATGACATGACGATATGCGATATGATGACATGACGATATGCGATATGATGACATGACGATATGCGATATGATGACATGACGATGTGATGATATGATGACATGACGATGTGATGATATGATGACATGACGATGTGATGATATGATGACATGACGATGTGATGATATGATGACATGACGATGTGATGATATGATGACATGACGATATGCTGACATGACGACATGACGATATGCTGACATGACGACATGACGACATGACGATATGCTGACATGACGATATGCTGACATGACGATATGACGATATGCTGACATGACGATATGACGATATGACGATATGGTGACATGACGATATGCTGACATGACGATATGACGATATGGTGACATGACGATATGACGATATGACGATATGGTGACATGACGATATGACGATATGACGATATGGTGACATGAAGATATGACGATGGTGACATGACGATGTGGTGACATGAAGATATGACGATGTGGTGACATGAAGATATGACGATGGTGACATGACGATATGACGATATGCTGACATGACGATATGACGATATGCTGACATGACGATATGTTGACATGACGATATGACTATATGCTGACATGACGATATGTTGACATGACGATATGACGATATGCTGACATGACGATATGTTGACATGACGATATGACGATATGCTGACATGACGATATGACGATATGGTGACATGACGATATGACGATATGGTGACATGAAGATATGACGATGGTGACATGACGATATGACGATATGACGATATGGTGACATGACGATATGACGATATGACGATATGGTGACATGACGATATGACGATATGGTGATATGACGATATGATGACATGACGATATGACGATATGACGACATGACGATATGACGACATGACGATATGACGATATGACGACATGATGACATGACGATATGACGATATGATGACATGACGATATGACGATATGATGACATGACGACATGACGATATGACGATATGATGACATGACGATATGACGATATGACGATATGACGATATGCGATATGATGACATGACGATATGACGATATGCGATATGATGACATGACGATATGACGATATGCGATATGATGACATGACGATATGACGATATGCGATATGATGACATGACGATATGACGATATGCGATATGATGACATGACGATATGACGATATGCGATATGATGACATGACGATATGACGATATGCGATATGATGACATGACGATATGACGATATGCGATATGATGACATGACGATATGCGATATGATGACATGACGATATGACGATATGCGATATGATGACATGACGATATGACGATATGACATGACGATATGACGATATGACATGACGATATGACATGACGATATGACGATATGACATGACGATATGACGATATGACATGACGATATGACATGACGATATGACATGACGATATGACATGACGATATGACGATATGACGATATGACGACATGACGATATGACGACATGACGATATGACGACATGACGATATGACGACATGACGATATGACGACATGACGATATGACGACATGACGATATGACGATATGACGACATGACGATATGACGATATGACGACATGACGATATGACGACATGACGATATGACGACATGACGATATGACGATATGACGATATGATGACATGACGATATGAGGACATGACGATATGACGACATGACGATATGAGGACATGACGATATGACGATATGACGACGATATGATGACATGACGATATGACGACGATATGATGACATGACGATATGACGACGATATGATGACGTGACGATATGATGACATGACGATATGACGACGATATGATGACATGACGATATGACGACGATATGATGACATGACGATATGACGACGATATGATGACATGACGATATGACGACATGACGATATGATGACATGACGATATGATGACATGACGATATGATGACATGACGATATGAGGACATGACGATATGAGGACGTGACGATATGACGATATGAGGACGTGACAATATAATGATATGATGACGTGACGATACGACGATATGATGACGTGACGATATAATGATATGACGACGTGACGATATAATGATATGATGACATGACGATATAATGATATGATGACGTGACGATACGACGATATGATGACGTGACGATATAATGATATGATGACGTGACGATACGACGATATGATGACGTGACGATACGACGATATGATGACGTGACGATACGACGATATGATGACGTGACGATACGACGATATGATGACGTGACGATACGACGATATGATGACATGACGATACGACGATATGATGACATGACGATATAATGATATGATGACATGACGATATGATGACATGACGATATAATGATATGATGACATGACGATATAATGATATGATGACATGACGATATAATGATATGATGACATGACGATATAATGATATGATGACATGACGATATAATGATATGATGACATGACGATATAATGATACGATGACGAAATAATATGATGACATGACGATATAATGATATGATGACGAAATAATATGATGACATGACGATATAATGATATGATGACAAAATAATATGATGACATGACGATATAATGATATGATGATGACATAATATGATGACATGACGATATAATGATATGATGATGACGATGACGACAATGCATGATAACATGATGATGTAAGATGCATGATGATGATATGACTTAATATAATGATATTTCATATTAAGATGATGTGCATGTACGAGATGTCATGATGCATTGTGATGGAGTTTTGCCTGAGACACAACCCTAAATGATGATGATGATAATGAATGTACGAAGGCTAGCATGCATGTTACCTAGGGTAATATGTGAATGACGTATAGGGTTGTGACATAAGGATAATTTAGGATGAAAATTATAGAAACATGAATACAAATGCGTACACTATAATGATGATGATCATGCCTTGCATGATATTCAAGGATTTGCTGACCTCCGGACATTTGACTATGTTCAACTAGCCCGACTATGATGGGTCTAGGAGGGTGAACCGTCTGAAGACTCACGCTCGCACATATGGATCGTGTGTAGGGAAGTATTACACATTCAATTTTGTCCAAACTGGAAGCCACCTCTATGAAGTTTTAATGATAGGACCCTAATTATGAGTTGCATGCCCATTCCATAACCCCAATAGTGGGGTCACTGTTATCTAGTACCTAGAGATTTATTTAAATTTAAATTTACTGTTATCTAAGGTATTTAGATTATTTAGATCATCCAGTGATTTAGATTTAGTTAGCCTTTCTCCCTTATAAAAAAGGGCATGTAATTCTCTAAAAATTAAAATAAGAAAAAACAACAATCTAATTTAAACTCAAAACATGATCATCCATCCATTACATCCTCACTTCCTTTGTGGTGGCAGAAGGAGGTGTGGTTGGTCGGATGCAAAGGGAACCATTTTATGGAGAAATTGAGGGATCTAAAAGGGGTGTTAAAATCTTGAAACAACAAGGTTTTCGGAGATTTTGGGGATCAAAAGGCATGAGTTGTTGAGAAGGCCTATAGGTCTGAGATGGGCTTGAAAAAGGAGTAGGGTTAAGGCCTTAAGAAGGAGTGACTTTCAATAGGTCAAGTTTGTCAAACTAGCTATAAGGGAGATGGTGAGTTGGAGACAAAAAGCTAAGGTGAAGTGGGCTAAGGATGGGGACTAATACTGCCTACTTTCATAAAGCGGGTGGGAGACAAAATAAGAACTTCTTTGGCCCTTCGGAAAATGTTTTATGAATATCTTTGCAAGGGGATAAAGAGATTGAGGAGGAGATCCTCTCTTTTAATTCTTCCCTTTATGCCTCGTGGGTTGGTCCTAAGTCATTTTTAGAGGGGTTGGATTGGTGCTCATGGATAAAGCGGAGTTGGATGACACTCACCTTAGAAGAAATCAAAAAGTTGTGTTTCAGGTTCATTAGGAACAAAGAAAGCTCCCATAAGCTTTTTCGATGACCTTTTTCCAAGATGGTTGGGATTGCATCAAGGAAGACCTTCGAAAGGTTTTTGTGAGTTTCCTGAGAGCAGCCTCCTGGATAGTTTCTTATGAAACTTGTGTGCCTTATACCCATGAAGGATAGAGCTGTCATGGTGAAGGACACCAGACCTATTAACCTTGTAACTAGTGTTTGCAGAATTTCGTTTCTTGCAAAGGCGTTGGCCTTTCAACTTAGAAAAGATCTTCCCTCAACTTAGGCGTTGGCCTTTCATTTCTTGCAAAGGCGTTGGCCTTTCAACTTAGGCGTTGGCCTTGTAACTAGCGGTCAAGGCATTATACTTCAAAAGGCAGAAGACTTACCCTAATACAAGCCACATTATCCAACCTCCCTACCTACTATATGTCTCTATTTGAAATGCCACAAAAAGTGGCCGCGGATATAGAAAGGCTTTTCAGAAATTACTTGTGGAAAGATAGTTGAAATGCCACAAAAAGTGGCCGCGGATATAGAAAGGCTTTTCAGAAATTACTTGTGGAAAGATAGCGCACACCTTGTTCGTTGGAATATTATAAACCTCCCAACAGAAAAGGGAGGTCTCGGTCTTCTCTCGATAAGGAAGAAGAACACAGCTCTCCTCGCCAAATGGATATGGAGATATCATCACGAAGAAAATGCCTTATGGCGAAATCTTATAAAGGCTAAATATACTCCTACATCAAACAAAGATCACCTCCCTCCATCTTCTACAAAAGGGCCTTGGAAGTACATAAAGAAACATCAAAATCTCATCACTCACCAAACTCGCCATAAGGTGGGGAATGGGGGAAGCACATCATTTTGGACCAACCCATGGATTGAAAACACCACGCTAGCTTTGAAGTATCCACTTTTGTACAGGCTTTCTCACAACAAAAAAGCCACGATTAAAGAACACGCTAGCTTTGAAGTATCCACTTTTGTACAGGCTTTCTCACAACAAAAAAGCCACGATTAAAGAAAACGCTAGCTTTGAAGTATCCACTTTTGTACAGGCTTTCTCACAACAAAAAAGCCACGATTAAAGAAATGTGGAATGTTGTCAACAAATTTTGGGACTTGAAGCTTGGGAGGAATCTAAAGGATAATGAAGCAACAGAGTGGGCCGAATTAAGCCTTGACCTTGCCCCTGTGGTATTGTCAAACAAAGAAAACTCACTAACATGGCTCCCCAGCGCAGACAGGGTCTTTTCTACAAAATCCTTGATGATGGACATGGGGGAAAAAGTAGAAGCAATAAATCTCAGGCTAGCAAAGACAATATGGAAAGGACATCAACCTAAAAAGGTGAAGTTCTTCCTTTGGGAAAATAGCTCGGCTCCCCAGCGCAGACAGGGTCTTTCCTACAAAATCCTTGATGATGGACATGGGGGGAAAATGTAGAAGCAATAAATCTCACGCTAGCAAAGACAATATGGAAAGGACATCAACCTAAAAAGGTGAAGTTCTTCCTTTGGGAAAATAGCTCATAAAGCCATCAGCACAAGTGAAAATCTTCAAAAAAAAAAAGAATGCCTTACATCACTCTCTCTCCAAATTGGTGTCCACTATGCAGGAAAGCAAACGAATCACAAAGTCACTTGTTTATGGAATGCACATACACTCAAAATTTCTGGACAACGATTCTTAATATATTCGGATGGCATCTCACATTTCCTAGGGAAGTAAAGGATTTTTTGGATATGGCCTTAACATACCACCCTTTCAAGAACGCAAAAACCCTATTATGGAAAAACCTCATCATGGCTTTCTTTTGAAATCTGTGAAAAGAAAGAAATCAGAGAATATTTGTAGAAACGACACAGACCTACACAAAACTTTTCGACAATGTTGTTTACCAAGCTATATCTTGGTGTAAACTGTCTAATATTTTTACTTCCTATAGTTATACCTCCCTCGTAGAAAATTGGGAAGGTCTTTTGTAAACATCATGGATTATACATCCCTCTTGTAAATTTCACTCATCAATGAAATTGTCTCTTATAATAAAAAAATAAAAAAAAAAAGATCTTCCCTCAATGATTGCGAAGACGTAGTAGGTTTTTGGCAGGTAAACAAATCACAACTAGTCTTTTTTAAAGCTCAAGGCACAATAAAGCCTAATAGCTTAATTGGGCTTAAGCCCAAGGCTCAATAAAAAAGTGCGAGCTTTTATTTTTTGTGAGGCACACTATATATAAAAAAGTACATAAAGAAGAGAAAGCACAGTTAAAGTTGGAGTATTAACAGAAAGGCAAAAAAAAAAAAAAAAAAAAACTAAACATACAGATTTTTGCATTTAAGGTTGGTAATTTTATTTATTTTTTAATTAATAAAGAAGAAGAGGCCCAGTTTTTTAATAACGAAGAAGCAAACTATCCTCGACCAAGCTCTTATTGCCAATTAATCATTAAAGGGTTATAGAATCCACTATAATGAATGGATCATTTTTAAATTTGACTTTGGAAAAGCATATGACCAAGAGCACTGGAATTTCTTCAAATGAATTCTTGTAAAGAATGGGATTGGGTTTAAATGGAGATCATGGGGGGGGGGGTTGGGTCCTAGGGGTAGGATTTGCTTGTCAAGAGGCCTTAGGCAAGGGCCCACTCTCTCCTTCCCTTTTCTAATTGGTTGTGAATGCTTTAGGTAGAATGGTTACGGGATGCGTTGAGTAGAATATCATTGAAGGGTTCATTATTGAGAGGGATAATTTGTCTCTTTCTCATCTTCAGTTACAATATGATTTTTTTTTTTTTTTTTTTTCTGTTTTGTTAATCAGGACTTCTTCATCAAGGAGCTTAAGATTAATAAATGCAAGTGCCAACTATTGGTTCATAATTAAGATACTATTAGGCTGAATAGATGGGTTGCTTTGGAATGGTGAGGTTGGTTTTTTTCCTTCATCTTACATAAAGACTCCCTTTGGGTCTACTCTAGAAACCATTCATTTTGGTACTCAATAGTGAGCAATATTTGTAGGAGGCTAACGGCGTGGAAGAAGAGTTTCCTTTGAGAGGAGGCAGACTTACTCTCATTCAGTCAATGTCGAGGGGTTGGTGTCCAACATTTTTTTTTTTAAACAAGAAACGAAACTTTTCATTGAATCAAAAGATATAAACTCTACCAGAGAGTAGACAAAAAGCAGACTAACAAAACACGACAAAACAAGTACAAAAGAACCATAAATGCAACCCAATTCAATTAATATCCAAGAAAATCCAGCAAAGTACTTGGATAGAGAGCACAATGAAAGGCTATAAAATTTTCAAAATCAAAACAGTCAACTACGGAAGAAATTTGTTTCAATTTTGGGTATCCCAAGCTATGACTTCCCCTTTCAAGGATTCTTGTGTCTATGAGTAAATCCTTGGAGATGTTCATGAAGGAGTTCCTTTAGGAAGATATTGAGGAAAGGGGAGGGAGCAGGTCACATGTAATCAAGCGAGGGATTGGACACGGGGAATTTAGGGGCCCATTATAGGGCTGACTAAATGGCTTTAGCATATTGTGAGATCCACATGGGAATAAAATATTCCTTATAAGGGTGTGAAAACCTCTCCCTAATAGATGTATTTTAAAACCTAGAAGGGAAGCCCGAAAGGGAAAGCCGAAAGAGGACAATATTAGTTAGCGGTAGGCTTGGGTTGTTACAAATGGTATCACCAGACACCGAACGGTGTGCTAGCAAGGACGTTGAGCCTCCAAGAAGGGTGGATTGTGAGATCCCATATCGGTTGGAGAGGGGAACAAAGCATTCATTATAAGGATGTGGAAACCTCTCCCTAATAGACGTATTTTAGAATCTTGAGGGGAAAAGCCCAGAGAGGATGATATCTGCTAGTGGTGGGCTTGGGTTGTTACACATATCCTTCTCGAGTCTAACTCCTTATGGAAAATAGTAATTCCAAGCAAATAAGGGTCGCTCTCTTTCAAATAGATTGGAAGGGCTAAAAGCACTTCCAAGAACCTTTTGAAAGGTATAACTGAGGATATTTAGTTGTTTTCTCAGTTTGTCCAATGTTCAAGGGGTGATTAGAGAGAGAATATTTTTTAGAGTGGTTTGGGAATAGATCTCTCTCTGCTCTTTTTTCCTTTGTTTGTATCATTTGTCCTCAATGAGGAACCACATGGTGATGCAAGTGTTGTCTAATTCTTTGTTCATTTTAGGACTCCCGTGTTCCTTGTTCAATAGAGCATGTCAAATGTGATTGCCTTCCTCTCGTTGATTGGGGAGTTTTGTTGTAGTCCATGGAGAAGGGATGTCCGTATTTGAGAGGTCTTGGAGTGACGTTTTATTTGGCTCACTATGTCTCTATGACCTTCGTCGGCTAAATTGCTTTGTAACTACCCATTAAGCCTTATTTTTCTTGATTGAAGGCCCTTCTATGGGTTGTCTCTTTTTTTTGTGGTCTCCTTTTTTTTGTTTATATACCCTTCCATTCTCTCTTTTTTTTTTTTTTTTTCCTCAATGAAATCCGATTATTCATCAAACACACCAAACAAACAGAACACATTCTCATAAAGCAAATGTAAACTCAAAAAAAAAAAAAAAAAAACTAACAATAGGTAGAAAACCATATGCTAGAAAGACTCCACTCACCACACGTTAGAAGCCTAGAATACTAACCAATTTCCTGTAACTCAGGTTTGTTTATGAAACTGAATGCCAAGGAGAATCGTGTTCAATTGCACTACTGCAAAGGCACTTCAACAAAATTTCTTTAAAAAGGCATGCACCATGCAAGTGAATATGTTTCTTCCGCTCCCTAGCAAAATTCATTATCCTCTAATGCACAAATTCACAAGTTTTCGACCTCTTTGGTAAGCTTACCCATTTACAAATTCATTTCTACCCTATTCGGCAATAAGCCATTCCAACGCTCTATACCCTTTCCGCATATGTTCAAGAATTCCTTACCAACTAAGCAGAAAAGCCAACTTCGTGCCCATGTGGGTATAAGGAAACCGGGGAAATTTTTTGGAGAAAAGCAAGGAACATGAAAGCATAAGTTTCCGATCTTTACCTGTGCATTTTTCACCCCTGCCACGAAGCTCATTAGCCCCTTGATTTCCTTCATCCCAAGATAAGCTTTCAGAATCCGCGAATCCTACCCTGCCAAATAGTAGAGCAATTCCATTAGCGAGAACGAGGGGAGGCAGACAGAAACTCAAAAACCGACATGAGAGGGCGACGAGAAGTTCAAAAAACTAGGGGATTACAGAAAAACTTACACATACAATACCGTGAGTGTGAGAGCAAGTTACTAATGGAGAGCTTGAATCGGCGAGAGAAAGAGAGAGAGATTGAGAGGAAGAACACGGAGGAGCATGAATTTGAGGGGTGGTGGAGTATCGCTGTTGTTGTGCCCTAGGGAGGGGGTTCGACGGAAGCTGGCACGCGACCGTGCAAACTGATTTATGAGAGATTTGGGCAAACGCAAACACTGAGAGACTGTTGAGAAAAATGTGAAACGTGCTCAAATGTGACTTCCAGATTCCAACTCAACATATATATATATACATATATACATATATACATATATACATATATACATATATACATATATATTAATTTTTTCTTTCATTTTTCAAAATTAAAAATTTGATTCTCCAATTTAGTATTTTTTTTTAATAGATGAACTAAAATAAAATTTTAAAAAATTAGACCTTTTTGTATAATTTATCAATTAATTTTAGAAATTTATTAGACGTAAAATATATCAAATAAATATAAAATTTAAAGTATAATTTAACATTATTATTTTTTATAGAATCATTTAATTGTATTTGTTTAGTAAATTATATTCTTTCTCGTCCTTTATTGGGTTAAGTCAAAGATATTCTTTTAAAAGTTTAAATTAAATTATAAAAATAAAATCATTAATTTTAGATACCCATGTATTTGATATTGTAATTAGCTAAAATAATAATTAAAAAAAATACGAAATATATTAATAAAATACCATAAATCTAAATTAATTATGTAACCATCCAAGAATAAATTGAAGCATTCTACTTTAACGTGCATGAATTGCAACTTAAATTTTCTAGCAATTTAAAGCTCCCACAACCCCATTTTCACGATTTAGACTACTATTTTGCTTGCCGCTACTATGAGAATCGCGCTTTTGCTTCCTTTTCTTCGAGCTACGAAGATGTTTCAGTTATTCAGGCTGTCTCTTGCTGCTTCCTTTTCTTCGAGCTACGAAGATGTTTCAGTTATTCAGACTGTCTCTTGCTTACCTCATGGATTCAACAGCAGACTGAAAGGTTGACCTATTCAGAAGTCTTTGAATCTACACTTATTTTCAACTTCTAGAAGCATCATTTTTTTCACATCTTTGAAGTTCATATTACATGATTGAACTGTCTCGATTTGTATCACCGGATCTCTAAATATCCATACGTGTAAGGTCAGTCGCTTAGCCTCCTACTTAATCCCTATGTGATGTAGGCGCATATGGGTAGGAATGCAGCTTAGTTGAGCAAAGCAAATTGCAGTAACCAACACCATTGGCACTGAATTCTTCAACCCACAGATTCCTCAGAAATCGAAAGCTTCACGAAAATAAATATACATCTCACTAAGATTTACAGTAACCATATCTCATCATTTAGAAGTAATCTAGAGGTGCTGCATAAGTTAGCAGGGAAGCTGTCTCTTAGTTATTTTCTTGAGCTCTCTAACATATCAAAAATTGGCTAACATTTCAAGACTCCCAAGCTTTGATTTGAGTTTCCAAAACTAATCCATTACTAGCCAGCCAGGTTTGATCAGGATATCTTGTTTGAAGTTGCGGCCAGTCACCGATGTCGACTCGCCCTGTCGACGGTAGCACTGCATAAGAAAAGAATGCAAAACAGTGAAGCTCTTAGCATAACCAAGAATACAACAGACTAGACTACTGGTACTTGGAGATTGTTTGGGGAAGCTTTCAAATGCCAGAAATCTTACTCTATGGCCAGTTTAATAATCTAAACGTTTCTGGTTTCTTGTTTACTCTTATTTAATAAAGAACAATGGAGCTACAAAATGATAAAATAACACTTTTACTCGTGTTTTATAGAAGAAACTGAAAAGAAAAACACAAACAAGAAACAAAATTTCTATACAGTTCTGAAAATGTTTATGAAAAAGGATAATCACGAAATAAGAACGGTAACCAAACGCGTGTGTTTCTCAAAGATCGGTGAAAAGAAATGGGAAACCAGATAGGGGAGTAAATAGTTTCACTAATTTGGTCTCATAACATTTATCCAAAGGAGTATGCTCGTCAATCCTCTTCCATCCCCGAACCATCAGGGGATGTAGGAAGCGAAATCATTTGGAGTGGTTCTATTGATAAACGTCATAAAAGCATCTGAAACGTGAGCGAGGACTATGCTAATAACATAGCAACCTTTTACTTAGGAACACGAAATACTTGTGATCGTTCTAAATTTATGGGAAATAAATATGATATAAACTTCTAAAGGGTGCAGAAGTGCCATGTTACCAACCTTGTAACAGACAATTGTGTCATCGGGGTACATTGCGAACAATTTAGTTCCAAGGCGTGCATGACAAGAATCACAGAGGCTCTCATCATTGATCTGAACATGCCTTGATCTTTCCTCCAATCTGGCCAACCTCGCCTCAAGGTCTAGAGCACGGGAAGTACTATGTAAAATCTGGAAAAAGTAAGAAGTAGTTAAAGCTTCTGCAGTTAGTCTACTCAGTTAAATCAATTGGGGTTTGACGACCGATGCGTAATAACAGGAGGAGAGGAATGGAAGACTGCTGCTTCAGCCTCCTCTTCGGTGCCTTAATAGCGCTAAACGCTCAACAATGACACCACTAAACAAACTAATTTCACCAAATATATTTCCCAATAGTTCACACATGTTCACACATTTTCCAAAATCAATACAATCAATGTGCATAGTTGTAGGAACTATCACCAAAAGAGAAACGTTCTTGTTTTCCTTTTTTTACTTCAGTAAAAGCTGTGGGGAGGGAGAGGAGGAGAAAGAGAATGAGAGAACCTGTCCTTGACGGTGGTGATGAACTCGAGCTCTCAACACTTTTAATATTGTTTCTGAAGCAATTTGAAGCGGCATATCTGGCGATAAAGTCTGCACTTGAAACCAAATATTGATATGAACATAAAGGGTACAAATATTTACAAACAATCAGAAAGGGAACAGAAAAGGAAATCTAACGTAGTTTCTGTTTCTTCTCTACGGATTTTTTGTTTTTGTTTTTGTTTTTTGTTTTTTTTTTTCTTAAACCAAGGAAGTTGATGTATATATATGCAGGAATAGGTGCATGCTTGAAGGATGCAGTATTTGATACCTCTAAGACTCGCAAAGGATCCAAAAATTCTCCATGGTTGTGGAGAAGGCGAACAGCAGCTTTAAACATAGGCTCCTTACCATTTTGAGGATCCAAATACATATCCAGTAACCTATAGTTGTCGTGTCGTAAGCACAAATCAATTTTTTTAAAATGCACTGCGGTCTTAATCGTATCATTGAAAATGAAGTGTTTAAGGCACGTAAAACATAAAGAACAAAGATAAGCAAACAGAGGAAGAAAATTAACTGCATGTAGGCATCTGATCTGCCAATTTCAGCACAGTACTGCTCAGCAGCTTCACTGTCTTCAAGTTTCCTGACATATCAAATAATATTCTGTGAGTAATTGAATATCATGTTCATGTAAATGTATATTTAAAGTGTTGAATAATGCTGCAGGTGTTTGTACATTAAAAATTCAAATGAGAAGATATCCAAAGTCCAACACATGGCAGCTAACCAGGCAATTTATCTAAGTGAGACAATTATTCCAATGCACAACGAAACCCAAAATCTACAGCTAAGTTTCTGGATTAGCGATTCGTATTTAGCATCTTTTGTAACTTAAGAACTGTTTAGAGTCTCATATGAAACTTACAAGGCTAGAATCCGGAGGACCAACGCCTCTTGCCCTAGTTTCCGGTATAGAATAGCCTGTCCAGTCAAACAGGGAAAAAACGATTAAAAAGAAACACACACCAGTATGTAAGTAAATGCCAGCCTGACATGACCTTAAATAAAAGGCAAATCTGGCGTATAACAGGGCGTACTATGTCATCATGCGTAAAGAATTGAGGCACGCAAGTGTAAAAAAGGAATTGATAGAAAACCTCAGATAAAAGATTTGTATAAAGGATAATCAATAAAATAATATCCGAACAACCTTTTCCAACCATAATTCTGATCCTTCAATCAAGTCTAGAACCTCTTCTGGATCATACAAATCTGAAGACTGTAAAAAGATCTGTAACCTTTCTCGGATTGGCTGTTCAAACATTGAGTTAATTCTCTGATCAGAAATTTTTGTGTCTGATGATGAATCAAGGTTTTGAGTACTTTCGACTTCAACTGCTGATTTGGCTAATGAGAGAGCATATAGTGAGTGGAAGTGAGGATCACAAGACTCTTTCTCTTCGATCAACCACTGAATATACCTAAAAAGATGTGGATGTCAACCAGAAAAGACTGTTATAAGAAACAAAATACAAAAACTGCATGTATGTGTATGTGTATGTGTACGTATATGCATATGAATGTATGTATACTTTGATGAGACAGAGAATATATTTTATCAAAAGAGAAGAACCCAGCCTAAAGACATTAGGGATCCCTAAGTCTAACTCGGAGGATTGACAAGGAAAGACCTTCAATCTAAGTGGATGAGTAATCACTGTATATTACAAAACGAATTGTGTAAGGCACCCTAAGAAAAAAAAATATTTACAGCTCGCAGGATTAGGCCTAGTTACCAGGAGAAAGAAAGAAGAAAAAAGGGAAGTAAAATGAAGTCAATTTAAGACGCACCTTTGAAGAATTTCTACCTTCTTGGGATCAATAGCCCTTATTATGTCATCTGAAATATAGGGGAAACGGGTTGCATTAACGTAAATGTATGTTTGGAGGGATGGGGGAATCAAAGTTACAACGGCATAGAATAAAGATGATAGAATAGACTTTAAAACAATAATAATATCAAGAGTTGAAGGAAGTAAATGAATAGAAAAGCATAAAAATTCAATTATACAAATGAATGACCATTAAAAGAAAGAGTAGTCTCAGCTGGTAGGGAACTGACTTAAGGATGTTCTCTCTCTCTTGGCACTCTCATTCCTACGTCTCTTGGATACAAATCCATTTTGGGTGATGCTCCACCTCTCTTATATTTCAATAAGAAAATGAATGACCGACCTCTTTTCTCTTTTAGTTGGGGAGGTTGATTTTTTTTTGCATACCCTTCACATTCTTTCATGTTTTCTCAATGAAAGTATGGCTTTTCATAATATCAATACAAAAAAGAAAAAATGCGGCTGCTTCAACTGGAGTCTGGATAAGGCTAACTGCTCTATCTCCTAAACTTCTTAAGAGGACTTCTGACTGATTTTCCACCCTGATTTATCCAATCATAGAGTAGGTTTACTATTTGATGAAGCTACTAGTTCCCGAGTTCTCGAAGGAAGGTGAAACCTTGAGGGAGCTACCAGAACCTACAAATGCTATATCAAGTATTAAATTGTTCGGTTAAGTGACAATTGAAGAATGGTTCACTTACTAGAGGGGTCAAATGGTGGTATTTAGCCTAAATAAATCTAAGATAGCTGGAATTACATCGAAAAATATCCAATAAAAATGGAAGGAAAAACATGAGTGACTTCAAGTTCGCAAAAATACCTGGTGACAATTGAGATGATCTTTTTTCTGATGTCAAAATCTGAGTAGCAAAATGCTGGTTGATGTCTGCAATCTGATAGAAGCATACAGTTAAGATCAGCAAAATATTGCACCACGCCTCAGAATTCCTAGCAATTTTCAAAGTCCACTCAATAGTAAAGTTGGCATATACCCATCCAAGGTGCTGAAGAACCAATGCTTGATCAGACGACTCCTCGAGAATCTTTGATGCCTCTGCAGCAGCCGTTTCCTTACCAGATATATCTACAACATTGTTATCCAGAGTACCTTCATCCATAGAGGAGTCCTTCAAAAGGCGAGATGGATAATTTCTTCCCAAGATACGCCAAATAGCAAGAGCCTTTGAGCTCATCCCTTTACTTGCATAAAGGAAAGCAAGTGTACGCAAATGTCCAGAGTCCTCTAATAAAGATTCCAACTCCTCCTGCACCGCCGATTGAAGTTGTCTGTTTTACAGTGCATAGGACCACTAAGGTTCTGCAATTACCACATCCTAACCATATCTATCTTGAGGCCATAATTAAACAAATGAAATGTTCATGGATTAATAAATTAAAATTTTCTAACAGCATTTAGTTTGATGGCAACTTTTCGTTTTTAGAAAGGGAAACAATATCATCGATGAAAGAAATGGGGAAGAAAAACTCCCAAAAACACGGAGAGGTGCATAACAAAAAGCTTTCCTATTGGAGATTAAGGTAGTAAGACTATAATCATAAACAAGCCATATAATTGTGCATCGGTAAAGAGCATGGAATACAATTAAATCCAAAAAAACCATCAAAATTTAGGGAAGAGTCCCTGAAAATTCTCCCATTTCTTTCACACCAAAGAGTCAAGAAAAAAACTAGAAAAAAAATCACTGTTGAAAGCCAGCCACAACGTTTTCTTCACACCACGGAAAGGATGGTCCACAAAGATGGAAGCAAAAACACATATATGTTACCAGGTATAGACATTGACTACCCAAAAGCATCCGGCATTACAAACCAGTAATGAGAAGCAAAAGAGAAGAGGGCAAATAGATGGCACAGATGTTCGTCGCTAGAAAGGCACAACATATCAAGAAGGTGAGAGGCAAAGATAAGGCGTTCTCCTTTGAAAGCGATCAACGGAGTTGATACTCCCATGACAAAGTTAGCATAAGAAGATTTTAATTTTCTTAGGATAAGCGTCCTTCCAAATCACTGAATAAAGGTTGTGAAGAGATGAGTCTTTAGAATGTATTAAATCCTACATCAATGATCGTACTGTGAAGGATTTTGGAGGGTCCAGAGGCTAAAACCACGAATCATCAATATTCCTTAATTAAGGAGGGAAAATAAGAGTCTGGCACATCAGCAGCTTCATTGTCCTTAAGGTTTCGACGAAGACCCAAATTCCAAGCACTAAGTTCGGCATTTCAAATTTATGCAACAGAATCATTTGGCCTAGAAGTTAATCGAAACAAGCGTGGATAGCAGTGAGGCCGTATTGGCACTATAGCGGCAGATGGAGCATGTGATTAGTGGTCTTCTTATATCTTCCACAACACTCACCAATGTATCTAAAAATTTTGTCAGAGCGGATAGGAAGAGGGAGGTTTCGAATTGTAATCCAATCTCCATAGGTGCTGATTGTCTAATCACTAGAATAGTTTTGGGGTGTCATCGGATAAAACTCAAGCTTAAGTTCACCAAATTAGGTCCATTCAGCATGGGTGCACAAATGTGAGGCCGTATTGATGCTATAGCAGCAGATGATGTCTTTATTATCTGGGAAAGGGCTTATGAAGAGTCGATTGACCATATTCTATAAGGAGGCTTTGATGTCGATCCACGAGTCATGTGAATGGAGGCGTCAGACAATAATTACCTCCTTCCAAAATGATAGGTAAAGGTTGTTGATTAGGTTGAAGGTGTGCCCCAGTTGTGGCTAGGGATTCATGTTTTCTTGGGGCCTTGATTATGTTAATGGTCAAAAGGAGTAAAAATATGTTAACACAGAAAATGTTAACACAGCATACAGAAAATGTCTTCTTCAATATGACATGCATAACATAATGAGTATAAATATGGAGGAACACATGTACACATTACTATTGAAAAGTAAACACAATAAAAGAGAACTGCATACCACAACGCAACTGTTTGCCGAAGATGCCAGTTCTTCCATCTTATCAATAGAATTTAAAGTTCTATATAGGCACATTAATAGAGTGTCAACTCCCTCTCTAACGGCTGATGTTAATTCTTTTTGGCGGGATGCCTCGAAGTACCTATATTGACAGATAGAGATCTTACTTTTCTTAATATATATAAAAAAAGGTAGATAAATAAATAAAGAAGAAGCAAAACTTATCACTGAATTTGCAAAAAGTAATGGCCACGTTATATTATCTAGAAGTGAACTACAGAAATGAAATATTAAGCTTTTTTTTCTTCATAACTTTTTTACAAGACTAACTTTATATCGATGAAAAGGAGAGAAAAAAACGAGAGGAAACCTAAGGCTCTCAACAAAGGCTGCTAACTACAAGTGACAAGAAACCCAATCTCATAATTCCTTCAGAAAGAAGAAAATATCATATGTATACATATGTATGTCGGTATACATGATAAGAAACAAAACGTATCATTGGAAAACAAAGGGAATACTGCCTAAATGGCCAGGGAAAGAGGAAACGCTCGGCCTGGGAGGTTAGAAAAATCTTCTCCAGTCCATGTTAATCAAAAAGTTGCTCTAATTACTAGAGAGGCATTCCAATTTCAGGCCATATTCTGTACATTTGGCCATAGATCATTAAAACGCTTTTTTTATACGGAAAAACTATGAAAGGATATAAACGGGCATGCGAAAAACTAGCATTAGCTAATTGCGTAGAAAGATGATGTACATGTCAAGGTGTTATATTTCCACCAGCAACGGTCCATGTCCATGTTCTCTTTTTCCTAGAACAAAATTTGTAATCAAAATAAGACGATATTAGCATTCTGCTAATTGTACTTCCACTGCCCCCTTGATCATGGCCACTGAACCTTCCTTCAAAAGATTTTCAACAGTTCTTGCAGTTTCTCTCTGGTATTCTTAATTAACCCTAGTATAAGCCTAGAATCATATGGAGAAATGCTGTGATACCCTATTATCATTCATTGGGCTGAAAAGAAATAGGAAGATCCTTCTTTAAGTTAAACATAGGAATATAGAAAGAAGAAGATTAAATGAGTTGCGAAAACAAACTTTTGACCCAGAAATAGCGCAATCCTCGTCACATTTTGCTCCAAAAAGAAAGGAACTTAAAGACAAAAAAAGTCCACACTAATAAAAATATCTAAAAGAGAAGCTTAACTAAAAAATCAATAAATAAAATACAAATACCTGACAATATGTTTTACGGCTGACTCCAACAAATCTGACCTACTTGGTGGATTCAAGAGAAAATCCTCATTTACAGCAGTTTCTACTCCTACTTTTTTAAGAAATGTGGCTCTTTGGATGGCAAGCAAGCCATCGTCTATAACATCTTCAAAAGGAGAAGGGGGAGGATGCATTGCCCAATACCGATTTCTGGGAATCTGAGAATTAAAAATTTGAAACACTAAAACTACAATATCGAAACGGTGAATTCTTTTCTAGAGAAAAGACACCAATAAATAATTTGAAACTAATTTGAACTCTCAAGTTGTGCATCTAGAAATAAAATGGACAACCAAAATTTTTGCCTTTAGAATACAAGGTAACAAAAGAATTAACAGAATCTACAAATTAAATATTTTATGGCATGGATGAATGTTTTGCTTCTTAGAAAAATACATACAAAGAGTAAGCGTTCTCTGACCAGCCACATGTAAAACTTTATCCCGACCAATGTCGGCATCTTAATTTTTCTCTTTCAAATTCTCTAGTTCCTTTTCAAGTAGCCCAATATAAAAGTTGTGCTGCAGAACTTTTTTCCAATGAGATTTATTTTATTTTTTTAATGTTTTTTGTAAGCAACAATTTCATTGATGTGTAATGAAATTATAAAAGGGGCAGACAGCATCAAGTTATTTAGGCCAATAGACATGATGCAAGGAAACTAATAATTAACATAAAGAGGAAGTACCAGCAGGGACCAACGATTTGGGTCCTTCATCACAAATGGAAATATTTCAGAAGGCTGCATTGTCTCAGATTGCAAAAAGTGATTTACAGCTTCCTCAAATTGCAAGTCAAAAAGCAAGAGAAATCCAATTTGAGCATGAACAAAGTATAGCATATCCTTGGACATTTCACCTGCACACTCTAGGTCCTCAGCCAAAGAGATTGCTTCCTTAAAATTCTTCCTTCTCAGCAAATCTTTAATTTGTTCATCACAAGGCACTTTTTTATAGCACATAACCTATGATTATCAAGCCAAGCAATAAAAGTTAACAGCAACTTTAAATAACAATTTAGAACTAGCTGAGAATCTAGAAACAATTAAATAAGCATCAGTCATGATGCTATATATAGACATATTCTTCCATGCAATGCATTTTCAGTAGGCGTCACAATATATGAAAACAGAAAAGAGAATCACATGCCTCATATATATAAAGTTTCTTATGGATCATAATATTTATATCAGTTCCATCACATGCCTCACATATATAAAGTTTCTAAAATAAAATTTAATATTATACGAATAACCTTAAAAACCAAACATAGTAATGTCAAAAAAATTTCTAGTGAGAATAGTCAAGGTGTCCACAACTCCTCATGGGCACACACATATCAAAAATAAAAGACTTTTGGGGGAACACATTCTTTTCCATATTTTGTGAGTTATGAGTGGAAAATATCAGAGGTTGTTTGACACTAAATAGAGTGGGAAGAGATAAGAGAACTTATTTTTTAGCTTCAACAAGGTGCTGGGTCAAAACTAGCTTGTGTCTAAACCTCACATTGGATAAATTCCAGTTTGAGGGGTTCATTGTCAACTCTTCGAATTTTGAGCTATAATACTTTTGTATTTTTCATTCATAAATGAAAGGTCAATTGCTTTTCCATTTCCCATTTTCTTTCTCTAACTGCTCTTTCGCTTTGGCTTTAAGGAGCCGATCCTCACTACCTTTGGCTAGTCCACTACTTTGTCTAGGCAATCGCTTGCCTTGCTTGCCTCTGTTTTGGTTGGTCGTTCATTCAAGATGGAGAAGAAAATCCTTGGGCTCAACTTTACTAATTGGAACAACAGGAGCATTTTTTAGGAAAAAAAGACTCAACTTTTATTTCCAAAATATGAAAGAATCCAAGGGAACAAAGCCCACAACAAGGAACAACCCTACATAAAAGGACTCCAATCAAGCAAAATAAGACCTACCCAATAATTATAGAAGGAATTCGTCACTGACACCCAAAGGGAAACATTGAATCTTACAAGGGACCAAGCATCAAAAGACTCTCAATCAACCCCTTTGAAGATTCTACTATGCCTCTCCCCCCAAATACATCACAACAAAGCGAATGTCCCGGCTTGCCATAAAAAACTTTATTTCCTCAATACAGAGAAACAACAGGAGCTCTTGTATCTTCAAGGATAAAGAGACCCGCCTGGACAACTTCTTTGATTTTTTATCTTCTTTGGCTCTCACTTGGTGTAAATTTGTAAATATTATACCTACGTTTCCAGCTATAAATAGCCTATCTTCGCTGTGCATTTTTTTTTTAATTTCCTTAGGATAGGATAGTTTTTCTCCCTCCTTTTCTAATTTCATCTCATCATTGGAATGCTCACCTAAAGTATATATATACTCTCTAATTCTACAAGATCGATCGCACAGCTCAATATTTATCTGCAAATTGATCTGTTTTATGTAAAACAGTTAAAACATCTATTGATCTAGTGAATTTCTTACCCTATGTTGTATCGCAGGCCTTCAAATTGCAAGACAAAATAAAATTTTCTTGGACTTAATAAATGGGCATACCTTGTTAGTCACAGCAACGGCAATAACATCACCACTGCCATCTTCCTCGTCTGCAACAATGCAAGGCTCAATTCCGTTTCCATTAAAAGTAATAGTTTGAATACAACTACCAGTATTCCTATGATACAACTTCAGCTGCCCACTACTTGCAACAACCACATACGAAGATATCTCAGCAACAGAATTTGGAAGATCATGAAACACGAGACTCCCACCGACGGGTTGACCGTACGCATTAACAGTGATGCCTACTCTATCCATCAATAGTAGCACTTTCCACTCTTTCTGCAACAATTTAAGGCATGGAGGACTCGATAACTCTGGTAATTTGAATATTAAACTATTCGCTCCTGTAACACATGAAACGAGATAATAGCCACTAGCCGTTCCAACGATTATTGAATCATTGAGCCACACCATTGTTGAAACTCCTTCAGTACACTGTAACTCTTTCAAAATTAGAAGAGACTCATTGGCATCATTAACACCTCGCTCGTTTCTACCAGTTCGACGACCTAAAACAACTTCAAATAAAATCAACCTTTTACCAACTAGAGCTGCAAAAACGCAATTACTTTCTTCCTGCGGCCATTCTGACTCCTTGATTTTCAAGCCATTTGTTCGTATTCCACTTCCCAGACTCTGCAAAAGCCTTTGACGTGGGCTCCCTAATCCAGAATTACTATCCGCCCTCCCATACAAGCTAGAACACTCAGACTCACTACTCCTAATTCGTTTCGTAATCAAAGAAACCCCTTTCAAACCGGTCAACCTCTTTACTGGCACTAAAAGAAGTGAATCAACAATATACAGAAACCCATCGGAACAAAGTACTAAAACCTTATCAATTCCACGAAGAACATTCAAATACACAATTGAGGAAACGCTAACCGCAACACTCCTAACAAGTGAAAACCCCTCCGATGAAGAGACAACTCTGGGAGCAGCATCCAAGCCGGTTGTTTCCGAACCAAGTGCGGTAAAACTTGAAGATTCCGGAGTTGCAGAGAATAAAATAAGTGCCCCAGATTTAGTTCCGGCGAAAATTAGGGTCTGGGAATCAGAGAGAGGGGAGACGGCGAGAGATCTAATTGAAGTACGAAAATGAGTGGATATATCGAACTCCTCACCGAGTGGTTCAAGAACAGCCCTTTCGGGCTTGGCCATTGAGTGGGAGAGAAGCAAATTGATCCTCCAGAATGCTAGCTCAGAAACGGCATTAATGGAAGATGAAGATGGAAGGAAGGTAGCTGATCTGAACTGATTGTTTGATCGGAAGTTGGGGCGTTCTTTCGTTGGTAAATTGGGCAAAATGTCATTTCAACGTTACCAAAGCCCCCATTTTCTTTTTCTCCTTTCAATATTCCTTTTCCGTTGGTAAATTTTTGGAGTGGTAAATTTTGGAGTGGTAAATTTTGGTAATTTAAACCATCTAGATAAATAATAAAATCAATCTATAATTAGGGCTATATTTCGATCATTTATACGATTTGGGCTATTTTAAATTTTTATTTTTAATAAAAGTAACAACTCCTAAAATATCTGTATATTTGATTATTTTTAAATATTTAATTAAGATTTACCTTTTAATTTTAATATATTTTAAATAGCTAAAAATTAATTTTAAGGAGTAATTGAATAATAAATAATAAAATAATAACTCTGAAATTAAATTAAATTAAATTAAATATACGTATATATAACTGTATCATAAATTAAAAACGTATAATTGTATTGGATTTTTTGGATTTTTTTTTTTTTTTTTTTGATAGACCATCCTTAACATCTGCCAATTTTGTTAATAGTTAACGAATATTTTTTTTAAAAAAAATAAAATAATGATAATTAAAATATTAAAAAAAAAGTTAAAATTTACTAGACTTAGCCAATATACTTTAAATATTTAATTTGGTTTTTATATTTTTAATAAATCTTAAAATTATTCTTAAATTATCGAATTTGTTAAATAATAATAACTTTCATGTAAAACAAATATACTTTAGGAATATATTTTCAAATTTTACAATGAAATGTCTCATAAATAATAGAGAATTTTAAAAAAGAAATCAACCAAATGATATTTTAACCTAATTAAAATTATGAAAATTTATATATTTGGTACCGAGGTTTAGGATAAGCCGCATTTTTAATATTCTAATAAATATATATATATATATAGATATGCATAATTATTAAAGATCAATTGTAAACTTATAGATTTTTTGGATGAGATCTTACTAAGTTTAACTAAGTTTATTCGTAAAAAAAATTCAAACCATATCATTTGTTCATCTCGGTATCAATTCGATAATAAATAAATTTAATTAATTAAAAAATTGTGCCATAAACTTTTTGAATTATTTTGTCACGGTTGTAAATCACAAAGTTAATTTATCATTATAAGAAAAAGAGATAATTTTGTGTGAAATAAGGGAAGTATCAAATTTGATACAAACACAAAGAGGTTCGACAAGAAGGTCGTTTTGAGGTTCCAGAGTGAAGGAGAATTAATAGGAGTAAGTAGCTCGAGTTGCCCCATTACCAAATCAAAGGGGCCGCCTTTGCTCAATTTGGGTTGGACCTTGATGAGTTGTTAACTTTATTCCGGTAGATATTGCAATTATGTCTTGGACGGAGATGGGTCCTCAAGTGCAAAGGCAGAAGAGAGTCCTATAAGGCCAACCCTCAACGGTGAATGTCGAACCACTAATACCGACTCAGTGATCCATAATAGAAGTAGATATTGATATTTAAGTACTTGTAGAAACTAATACTATTAGTATTACATGTGAAATACCTAAAATGTCATCGACAAAGGATGATTCTTTTATTTAGGAAGACGTGCTATTAGATGATGGGACACTCAATTTAATGATGACAACTCCATTACGAATCCCTCACATATAGGAATGGACAAGCCCGAGATCTGGACATTAACAAACTTGGCAGAGTACTCATACGTTATTCTGATGCCTGAATTACCATTCAAGTTTGCGCCCTTGCTTATATCTAAACCAAGGTCACCCATGTTCTTAGGCCTTTCAAAGCCTACAATGGTCACCTTGTCAATGATCATCTTCTGGCTCAAAGCAAATCCTCCATTTATAACCTGAGATTTGATCAGTAACTTACTCCCAACTGCTTCACTGTAAAATCTTACCAGACTCCAATTACCTCCCTCTTCTCCCATTTCCATCTCTTCTCCATCATCCAAGAACACCTCTCCAGAGCTGCTTTGACCATTGCTGACGACTACCAAAAGCTTGAACTCTGTCTTTCGAGCTGCTTGTGTTGTCGTCGCCTCTCCGTGTAATGCTAATATGTTTCCTTCCCTGACGTGCACATTTATATGATCAGCAGGTGCGTCTAGAGTGATTTGCTGCCCTGACTTTATAGCCACTGACTCAGAATAGTTAAAGAGGCTAAACCAGTTTCCTGCAGGAAAATATGCATCAACAGAAATAGCTCCCTCCTTCAGAACTGGAGAAATCAATACACCTGCTCCAAGTAGAAACTGGGAGTTGATTTCATAGGTCCTGATATCCTGAGGGAATGAGAAGAAGAGAGGGCGTGCAATTGGTGTCCCCTTTTTGTGTGCCTCATACATCAAAGTGTAGATGTAAGGAAGTAAGCTATAACGAAGTGCAAGCACCTTCCTGGCTGATGCAGCAACCGTATCCCAAAGATAAAGCTCTTGACGAATGGATCCTTTGTCAGAATGATCTCTAGCAAATGGGTAAAATGCACCTAACTGCAAAAGTTAAACAAGTTTTTGTTGAGGATCGTTGGGAGGGAGTCCCACGTTAGCTAATTTAGGGAATGATCATGAGTTATAACTAAGTAACACAATCTCCGTTGGTATGAGACCTTTTGGGGAAGCCCAAAACAAAGCCATGAGAGTTTATGCTCAAAGTGGACAATATCATACCATTATGGAGAGTCGTGATTCCTAACATGGTATCAGAGTCATGCCCTTAACTTAGCCATATGCCAATAAAATCTTCAAATGTCAAACAAAGAAACTGTGAGCCTCGAAAGTGTACTCAAAAGTGACTCAAGTGTCGAACAAAGGGTGTACTTTGTTCGAGAACTCCAAAGAAAGAGTCAAGCCTCGATTAAGGAGAGGTTGTTCGAGGGCTCCATAGGCCTCGGGGGAGGCTCTATAGTGCACTTTGTTCGAGGGGAGGATTGTTAAAGATTGTTGGGAGGGAGTCCCACATTGGCTAATTTAGGGAATAATCATGGGTTTATAACTAAGGAACACAATCTCCGTTGGTATGAGGCCCTTTGGGGAAGCCTAAAGCAAAGCCACGAGAGCTTATGCTCAAAGTGGCCAATATCATACCACTGTGGAGATTCATAATTCCTAAGAGTTTTGATTACAGTGAATTGTATGGAGAACTTCGCACCTGAATCCAACGTCGGCAAAGCTCTTCCGTCGTATCTCCAGAAAATCCACATATGTCAGCACCAACCATTGGAATTCCAAAGAGTCCAAAGTTCAAAATGGATGGAATTGTGTAACCTAAATCATTCCAAGTCGCAGCATTATCTCCAGTCCAATGTGCTGTGTACTTCCCAGAGCCTACAAAAGTTGATCTTGACAGAACAAATGGTCTTTTGCCCGTTACTTTTACTAATGAGGCATGAGTAGCCTTTGACTCCAAGAAACCATATAAGTTATGAGTATTATACTCTGTCAAGTTACCAAAATGAAGACTTGATGCTGGCACAGTCCTATTGTTAATTGGACGTTGGACTCCAGCATTGTTAATCTTGTAAGGAGGGTTATCAAGATTAGAAAATGAGCTGGTTGAAGAGGTTATAAAATTTGATATCTCATTCATATCAATCCAAAGACCATCAAACGGAACAATATCTCGAAGTAATTTAATCTCATCACCCCAGAAAATCTCACTGTTTGGATGAAGAAAATCAGGGAAGTAAACAGGTCCAGGCCAAACCTCACCCAAGTATGGAACCCCGTCATATTTTATAAAGATATCAGCTTCTATCCCTCGGATGTATGTTCCATATGTCTTGTTTGTACTAATACCTGCAGAACATAAACAGTATAAGAAAATACATGAACATAAACAATAAATGATAACGATTGCACTGCTAAAAACACACCGGGATCCAAGATGAGCACATATTTTTGTCCATTTTGATGAAGATTATCAACAAAGTTCTTCATTTTCTCCACGGGAAAATTGATGGGATCAAAAGTGAAGTCCTTATACCCATCCATGTAATCAATGTCTGTCCACATAACTTCAAGAGGTATGCCGGCTTTGGCATAACGAGCAACTACAGTCTCAATATCAGAAACATTCTTGTAGCCATAACGACATTGGTGAAAACCTTCAGACAAGAACGATTTGTTAATTACTTGTTACTGTAATATTGCATTAGAGTTCAAATGAATAGAACGTGCTTTCTTTTTCATAAAGTGATTGGAGTGTCACCAATCCTTGAAATCTTCCAATCTATTAAATTGAACTTATCGGTTTGATACACAAATTCAAAAGAACCATGCAATTGCAAACACTAACTGTTGCTGTAGATGAAATCTCAAAATAATCTCACAGACATAAATATCGAGACAATAGGAAGACTTACCGAACGACCAATAAGGCACGGGTGCAGGCCGCCCAATAAGCTCCGTATACTGATCTATCACTGATATCGGTGACGGACCCGCAAAGAAGTATAAATCAATGATTCCACCAATAGCCTTGTAGCTAATCCTATCTCCAGTGTATATAATATCCATACCATTACTGTTCAGTAACAGAACTCCATGCGTCGTCCCTGCCGCAACTTTACCATCGCGAGACGGCGACCGGACGTCAATGTAGAAGGGATGAGCACCGTAGAGGTTCACGTCAGTATTAACACTACCGATATCGGCGTTCCAAAGCGTCAAAGTTTTACTTTTATCCGGCACGAGCTTGAACGACTTCCTGGTTTGCTCGCCAATGCCAAACAAAGACGATCTGTCCTTGGGAAGCGAAGAGGATAGTTGAATGTATTGGTCCTTGAAGACAAGAAAAGTCTCCGAATCGGAGAAATTAGGCGATGTGTCGAAGAGGACATCGCCAGATGATCGCCGGTGCACGGAAAAGCCGAACGGTGCGGTGTCATGGAGGCTGAAAATGAGATCGGAAGCCGGATCGGAGATGACAGAGGTTTCCGGTGAGCCGACGTCTCTTTCCGGCAGGGAGCGGATACGGGAGTTCGATCGACGGGGAATTATCTCGTCCGGTACTTCCCATCGTTCCCGATTTGAGTCTGTTATTCGCACTCTCAGCCGATCTTTGGTTTCAAAACTGCAATAACATATTTTATTTATTTATTTTACCATTAATTATTTTTTCCCTTAAACTATTTAAAAAAAAAAAAAACTAAAATATACTCACATTCTTTAAAATTTAAAAATAATTCTTATTTCTAAAATTATATATACAATTTAATTTTATATCTAATAAAATATTAAAAATATTTAAATATGTATTTACGAAATTAAAAATAAAAAATGTAGATACATTTTTGAAAATATTAAATATAAATTTGAAAGTTTAAATATTAAAAAATCATATTTATAATTAATGAAAAATTATATATATTTTTAAATAATTTTATAAAAGTGCTGAGAATATTTTATATTTATAAATAAATAAAAGAAGCAGAAGAAATTCACCTGGCTTGGAGGCTAAGTCTCTCAACGTCAGGTCCATACACCGAGGATTTGTCGATCAGGTCAAGATCGGCGGTCAACGACTTTCCGGTAGGGTCAACACGCCCCGATCTAACTCGGTATCCATATCCGACGGCCGAGTTTTCTCTCTGCTCGCCGGCGGCGAACGGGAGAGATGCAGTTAGACGAAAGAAGCAAGTGAAAAGGAAGAGTACGACGGCGGAGAGTAAACGACGGCGACGGAGAAAAGCTTGGAGAGATTTGGAACCAGTCGCCATTCTTGTCGAGCTGTAAGAGTGAGCTCTTCTTCTTATCTCTTGCAAAAAATGTCACTATCCATTGTTGACAAATACGTTTTAGCTTCTTATTTCATTCCTTTTTTAAAAAAAAATTCTCTTTTTTTATTTATTTGGAAACGTTGTGTTTTATTTAGCCAATGGCAGCTTCGGAAGGTTATCGGGTTAAAATTTACTTAGATTTATCGTTCGTTTTTTCAAAATTAGCTATAAAAATATGTTAAATTATTCTACGAATGGTTATAGATCGACACATCAAGTTAGGTTTAGCAACCGCGTAATCGGAATCTGAAAGTTGAAACACGACAATACTATCCTACAACCGAAAATGTGGAAAAACTATCTAATAATGACTTGCTTTCCGTGGCCTTCTCACCGGAGCACGTGAAGCGTTCATGAATCCTTTACTTTTACTTGAAAAAGGTTAAACATCACGGTTGGGATCGAAAAATGTTTTCATACGGTGGACCTCATATTTATTAGATGTTTTTTTAGACTCTATTTTTTTTTTCTTTTTCTGGATAGGGTTAGATGTATAGTATTTCTTACACACGGTTCACTCACATGGGCATGACTCACTAGACGGGCTCGTTAACGTAAGCCCTAGGCATACTTTATTTTATTTGGAGTCGTCTTGTCAAGTGTTTGGTATAAAGGTGGCGAAAGGTACATGAATAAATAGAGACTACATCTGAATAAAAGTGATTCTAAAGATATAATGATTGAAATTACTAATAATAACAAGAAGGGGCGTGCATTTACCTTTTAGATAGCTCAATCATAACAACTCCAAAAAGTTATACAAATTTAGCTTAGAGCAGCAATTTTATATTGAGTGACCTTCTAGAAACTTTCTTACAAAGTGTGTGAGTGAGGACAAATCAGGTTAAATTGGCCCGTTCGACCTGTGGGGATAGTCTTTACTCTTAAGGGTTGAATTTGAATACTAAATCTTAAATATGATGTGCTACCGGATGTGTATGTCTTCTAATGATTTTTCCCGTTTTTTGTGCTACTTTTGTGGAGTGTGGTTTGAGAAGAACTCTACAATTTCTAGAATATGAATAAGATTTAGGAAGAGGCTCTTAACTGCGCAGGAATATGAATAAAAGACGTGTGTCCGTGCATCCACTCGAAAATACCTGCCTATAGGATGGTATTGCCTCTCTAAGAAGTTCGTGAGGTGCCGCTGTAACTTATTACCTCTCGATTCACCCCCCAAAAAGGAGAGAGATGTCCCGTCCCTTCTTTATGCACATCCATCTAAATAGCAAGACACAAAGGTGTACAATATATACAGTGAAGTTTGATAGCAAGACACAAAGGTGTACAATATATACAGGGAAGTTTGATGCCTCTCTATAGACCTCCGTTAATCAATAACCTTTCACTTAATCAGTAAAGTACTAAAACAGTCTTTGTAGCTAGTTAGGATTGTTTCGTGTTGGGAATGTTAGTGACTTCATATATTATCGAATGAAGTTATTCCAATATGGCTGTTGTTTAATAATGTTTGAATGTAGATTAAAAAATTTGCACTTCACTTTTATCGGGTCTCTCATACATCCAACAGTATAAAACTGTCACTCACTTTTATCGGGTCTCTCATACATCCAACAGTATAAAACTGTCACTCACATCGCGACCGTATTTCTAAATAATTTCTTCATTTCAACCCTTCCTTTCTACTTGATTTATTTGTTTATTTAGTTTTCGGGTTGGGGCATGTAGATTTTCTTCTTTGCTTATGGCAACTAATGGAAAAAAAGTGGAAAGACTTTTGGTCAAAGGATTGAAGTCATTTCCAACTTAATTTAAAGGTAAGTTTGGGAGTATTTTAAATTGATTAAAATTACTTTTTTTTCGTATTTAAAGTCACTCTAGAACACACATTTAATCATTCAAAATCATTTTAATGTGCAGCGGTTTACATACAAAGCTCGGATGGATTAAGATTCTAAAGGAAAAATATTTCCCAAAAAAATGGATAAGATGTTCATCGACGTATGAGTAGTTAGCATGAGAAAACAAATAACTTAAGTAGAAGAAGAAAAGCTTTAAAAAGGACAATAAATCCACCACATATCTCCACTATGTTATATACTATCTACTTCCGACATTCATTTTCACAACTTTATTTTGGGTTTCATCAAAAAAAAAAAGGTCTCATACGAACAAATTATTATCCCATACTTATATACTCATGATCACAATCTCGTAATTTCTTAACAAATGTGAGACTTAAGTCGCATTACAACAAGAAACTCTATCTCAAACTCGTTGTAGATCCAACCATTAAATTTTAGTTCCAACAAACCGAGCTTTGAAAGAGGAGGATAGTTCCAACAAACCGAGCTTTGAAAGAGGAGGAAAAAGGTGATGGGTTAGGTGTAATGTGGTAAGGAAATAGGCAAGGTAGATACAATGGTTGTACTAAGCAGACCACCAAAAAGCATCACATTAGGAACAAACAAGGCAGTAGCAGTCATACCATCCAAAGAAATAACTCGTTTACTTCTCAAACTCAACAAAGTTCAGCTAAATCTGAGTGGTTATAAGTACCTCATCCGAGTAAGAAACAGATCCAAGACGCTGAATTTTGTTGTTTGTCCATTATCCATGGCTTCTTTACAGTCCGAAGCAGCAGCAGCAGCAGCAGCAAAAGCAGAGGTTGGTGAGTACAACCATCTTGCAGTGGCATCGCCGCCGACGAGGAAGTGGCGATGGGGGCTTGTTTTGGTCAGATTGGTGGCTTCTTTCGCCACTGCCTCAGCAACCCTTGTGATGGCTCTTAATAAGGAGTCCAAATCTGTTGTTGTTGCCACCGTTGGAACTGCTCCACTCACTGCCACTATATCTGCGAGGTTTCAGCACACTCCTGCGTTTATGTAAGCTTCTTAAATTGTGCCTCTGTTTTGTTTTTCTTCAATGATTTTTGTGGTTTTACCCCTTTTTAACCATTTCTAGACTTAATAACCAAATCATGTCGTGTGTGACCAGACTCTATACGGTAAAACTAGAATCGTGAAGCAATCAATAAAGTAAATCCAATGAAGCAACAACTAGTATTATAGAGAAGCGGTCAAGTTGCTAGAGTAACCAAAGTAATGATAAAACCCATTAGCAGAATGAGTTCTATGATAAAACCCATCTATCGTTTTCCTATTTCTAGTAAAAATTCAAAAAAGAATCCATTTATAATCCGTGAATTGAATTAATGGATCTTTTAATTCGAAGGGCCAATAAAATACGTGAAGCTTAGAAAAAACTTGCAGCTCAACAAACTTACTAACCTCTTTTCTATTCACTTTTGTGACTCTTGCTTCTCTCATGATTATTGATGTTTTTTAGATGATGAATGTGGTAAAGTTTAGTTTTTAAAGTTGAGTATATAATAATTTAATTCTTGTATCTTTTTTTTGAAATAATTCAGGAACTAAGATTTAATTTGGGATAATTTAATTCTTGTAATCTAAAATTTATAACAGTAAAGTTTATATTTGTTCATATTGTGAAAATTTCATTTTAAGGTAAAGTATTTGATCTTTCATGAATAACCATTTATTCTTAGTACTAAATACATTTAGTTCCAAAGATTCTACACAGTAGGAACTAAATCATTACACTTTTTTGCAAATTAAAAAACTATTATTTTTAGTAGTAATTAATAGTCTAATTTTATCCCATTTTTCAAAAGGCTAAAGGTATAAATCCCACCAAATTAAGCAAATAATATAAATAAGTTAAATTAATAAAAATATATTTAAACAACCGAGTAAAAAAAAAAATACAATTAATAAAAATACTCTTTTAAAGTTTAAAAAATACAATTAATTTTTTTAAATGTTTCATTAATATTTTAAACCTTTTTAAAAAACTTTCTTAGATAATCTAAGAATAGATAGACAGTTTTTATCAGATAATCTAAGAGATGTCAATAGATAGTTTTTATCAGATAATCTGAGAGAGGTAGATAGTTTTTATCAGATAATCTAAGAGATGTCAATAGATAGTTTTTATCAGATAATCTAAGAGAGGTAGATAGTTTTTATCGGATAATCTAAGACAATTTTTATAGGATAATCTAAGAGATGTCGATAGAAAGTTTTTATTAGATGATCTAAGATGTCGATAGATTTTTATCAGATAATCTAAGATGTCGATAGATTTTTATCAGATAATCTAAGATGTTGATAGACAGTTTTTATCAAATAATCTAAGAGATGTCGATAGACAGTTTTTATCAAATAATCTAAGAGATGTCGATAGACAGTTTTTATCAAATAATCTAAGAGGTTAATGCTATTTTTAAAATTTCAAAATTAAAAAAAAAAATTAAGGTAGACTATTTTAAAATAAAATAGTAACTATTTTCATTCCAAACTAACTATTAAAAATATTTTTATTTTAGATTTTTTTAAAAAAAAATTAAAAGTATTATTAAAAGATTTAAAAGTTAAAGAGTATTTGTTTTTAAGATAAGTATAAAATTTAATGGTATTGTTATTAATTTAGCATTTAACTAAAACACTATCTCCATAATAATACCTTTGGACTAATAAAAGCTTATGAAATTTAATGAATAGACTAAATTTGCTATTTAACTAATATTTAATTAACTATAAATACGATTTAGCAAAAATCAATATTAATTCTAATGAAGAAAATAATAATAAAAGTAATTTATATACATAAAATGAGATGTACGTACTTGTCGCAGATTCTTCGTCGTAGCAAATGGAGTGGCCACTCTACACAACTGGTTGATGATAGCCCTAGACATCTTCGGACCCGATTACCGCTTCCATGGCTTCCGTCTTCCCATTATCGCCATTCTAGACATGGTAAATACATCTTCATGCCTAATCCCCATCCTAATTTCAAAATTCCTATATCTACAACACCAATAACATTTTAACTCACCGATCTATCAAAATGGCGGCAGACGACGGTGGCTCTTGCATCGGCAGGCGACGGCGCAGCGACTTTCATGGCGGCGCTTGGAAAGAACGGAAATAAGCACGCTAGATGGAACAAGATCTGCGACAAATTCTCCGCCTACTGCGACCATGGCGCCGGTGCGCTCATCGCCTCCTTCGTTGGCCTCTGTCTTCTTCTTCTCATCAGCTCCATCTCCATTATCAAGCTGCTACACAAACCGAGACCTTCCATCGCTTCGCCATAGCCGATCTGCTTCAAAACGCAGCGTTTCGCTGCATTCGCCCTTCCGTCGCCATCTCCATTACTATTGTTGCGTTTGGTTGGTTTAATTTCATTTCTTTCAGTCCGAACTCCCGTGTGCCAAAAAATATCAAATTGTTGGGCCGTGGTTTATTTATTGGGCTTTTGTGTTTCCAGGCCCAATATAAATTGTTGGGCTGAGGTTTATTTCTTGGGCTTTTGTGCTTTCAGGCCCAATATATATTTTATGGGGAAAAAATTGTGTATTTTCCTTTTTGGGCTTTTGTGTTCTCGGAGAGGGAGAATTTCGTATTTATTGTTGCGCGGTTGAGGAGTGAAGTTCTCGAGAGGGAGGATTTTGTGTTTATTGTTGTGCTGGTTGAGGAAATAAAGTTCTCACAAATGACGTCGGTTTAGGAGATTAGGGAGGGAGGATTCCGTGTTTATTATTGCGAGGTTTGAGGGAGTAAAGTTCTCGTAATTAAACTACTGATTTAGGAGATCGGGGAGGGAGGATTTCGTGTTTATTGTTGCGCAAGTTGAGGGAGTAAAGTTCTCACAAAATGACGTTGATTTAGGAGATCAGGGAGTGAGTATTTCGTGTTCATTGTTGCGCGGGTTGAGGGAGTAACGTTCTAAAAAATGACGTCTTCTGATTTTTCCTCAACTACCTTCTATCTTGAGGTTACTTTACTTCTATTGACCTGTCATCAAATATGGTAACGTTTCTTCTCTAATTACATTGCTCCTCTGTTCTATTTCGTTTCAAATTTGTATATATTTTCTACCTTCGGTACCTTTAAATCAACGACATAAATCGATCTTTTCGAGTTCATTAGGATCTAAAGCTAAAATTAGTTTAAATAATATATTTTTATTTTAATTTTACCCTTTATCTAAAAAAATATCTTAAAATTAAAAAAAAAAATAAATAAAATTGGTGGGCCGAGGTTTATTTATTGGGCTTTGTGTTTCCAGGCCCAATATCGATTTATTGGGCTGATGTTTATTTCTTGGGCTTTTGTATTTTCAGGCCCAATATATATTTTATGGGGAAAAAAATTATGATTTTCCTCGGACTTTTTAGGTACCGATAGTGATTAATTTTTATTTTCGTTTACTCCAAACTTGTATAGTTGGTAGATAGCTAAATAAGGAAGCTAAGGACAAATACTCGCCTAACGCACGTGTACAACGACCATGAATTAAACTACTGATTTTGGAGTTAGGGAGGGAGGATCTCGTGTTTGTTGTTGTGCTGGTTGAGTGAGTAAAGTTCTCACGAATGACGTGAAGTTGGGGAGGGAGGATTCCGTGTTTATTGTTGCGCGGATTGAGGGAGTAAAGTTATCACAAATGACGTCGGTTTAGGAGATTAGGGAGGGAGGGTTTTCGTGTTTATTGTGTGCGCGAGTTGAGCGAGTAAAGTTCTCATAATTAAACTACTGGTTTAGGAGATCAGGGAGGGAGGATTTCGTGTTTATTATTGCATGGTTTGAGGGAGTAAAGTTCTCAGTATTAAGCTACTGGTTTAGGAGGGAGGGTTTCGTGTTTACTGTGTGCGCGAGTTGAGTGAGTAAAGTTCTCACAAAATGACGTCGGTTTAGGAGATCAAGGAGGAAGGATTCCGTGTTTATTATTGCGTGGTTTGAGGGAATAAAGTTCTCAGTATTAAACTACTGGTTTAGGAGGGAGGGTTTCGTGTTTACTGTGTGCGTGAGTTAAGAGAGTAAAGTTCTCACAAATGACGTCGGTTTAGGAGATCAGGGAGGGAGGATTTCATGTTTACTGTGTGCGCGAATTGAGAGAGTAAAGTTCTGACAAATGACGTCGGTTTAGGAGATAAGGGAGGGGAGGATTCCGTGTTTATTTTTGCGCAAGTTGAGGGAATAAAGTTCTCATAAATGGCGTTTTCCGATTTTTCCTCAACTACCTTCTATCTCGAGGTTACTTTTCTCTTATTGACTTGTCGTCAAATATGGTAGGGATTCTTTTCAAATTACATTACTTTTTTTTGTTTTACTTTGTTTTGAATTTGTAAATTTTTTTACCGTTAGAACATAAATCGATCATTTTGTGCTCATTAGAATATGAACCCACAAATATTATACAATTCCGTTTGCTTTAATAATGCATTTGAGTTTATTCATACATTTAAAATGTTAAATTTACCGTTCTGTCACGCTAATTTCAACGACAATAAAATCAAAATATATATACTTATCCGCTCATATTTAAGATTGACCCTATATAATTATACGTATAATTAGGAATATATGCAATTTATTCTTTGCAAATGTCAACAAAAATCTACGATTTCAAATATAATCATTTTTTTTACTTTATTTCTTTTCATAGAACATGTATACCGAAAAAACTTTTTAAAGTTTAAGGGTATTTTTGAAATAAAATATTAATTATTTTCATCGAACTATTTTTTAATTTTTTTTTAAAGTTTAAGGGTATTATTGAAAATTTAGAGGTATTTTTAGACAAAAATATAAAGTTTAAAAATATTTTTATTAATTTAACGTAATAATATAATTTTGGCGTGGGCAAAATAATAAATTAATAAAATTAAAACCATATCAATTTGAAAATAACTTTAAAAATACCTGCTCAATGTGACAAATTAATAATTATATCAATAACATATATAACATTTTTATTTTATTTCATTTAAAATCAATTCAAAATTATTTTAATAAAAATTATTACCTAAAAAAAAAAAAAAAAAAAAAAAAAAAAAAAA